ATTGGTAAACTTCTCTAGGAGTTTGGAGCTTGGTGGTCTCAATAGTTTTGGTCCAAACTCCTCCAATGGTGCTTGCAGATTCAAACACAATGGGCTGAAAGCCCTTTGAAAGTGTGTACTTGCAGGCAAGAAGGCCACTAGCTCCAGCTCCTATAATGGCTACCTTCTTTCCCATTCTGATCTAAAAAGTGTGTTTGCTGCTGCTATGATCAGTCTTTGTATGCTTATGTATATATAAGCATACAATTACATGTTATATTCTTTGGCTTAAGATACATTCAATTACATGTTATATTCAATAATATCTCATATATCCTGGTTCGGATATCTGTATGAGTTTCCTAGAGATTTCAGATTTGAGAGAGGATTCCGATAAATATAAATAAATAACTAAAAATTTCCTTGGAACTTGGTCTATCATCTTCAATGTGGATTATATCACGGGAGTGCATAAGCCACCATTCCCACCCTTATCCCTGCCACCCAGGCCACCATTTCTCTTTGTCTTGTCTCTACCACAGATCTACCCCTACAACCATGAAATAAGCAGGTGTCAATATAAATGCAAAATACAAATCAAACTGGTTCTCCAAATTGTTGAATGTAGGGATATATTTTTTTGGTAAATTGATTATATTGAGAAGGGGCGATGAGTGGAAAGGTTTATTCAAAGGATATTCCATTGTAATCTTCCATATAACACTTTTTCATGAACTTTGAAGGTTATGGGTAACTTTCGTGGATTTTTACTTTATTTTTTATTTAAACAATAACAGACTTGTTAATTTTAAACACTTCAAATTATGAAAATAATAATAATTAATACTTAAGTTGTTGATGTGTCATGTTTTAAACAGATAGATTAATAGAATTGTTTAAATATTACGAAATGCAAATAAATACACAACTTCTAAATGTATTATAATATTAAAAATAGGAATAAAACAACAGTAGATATACACATGATGTGCTACCAAAAGGAAAAAATCACATCCTAAATTTTTAATGAATCTAACTATTCACGCGTGTATTTTTGTGCTTACTTTTTTTTATTCTCATCAAATCATATAAGTCTTTTGACTTGAGATCTTATTATGATGCGACATAAAAAAAAAATTATTGAAACCCCCAAAGAACAACAAAACAAGATGGGACATATAATTTGATATGCTAAATATAGTGGAAAATTTGAGAAGATCACAAGTACATCCACGAGAATGAGATGAATATTAGGTCTTGTTCTAGTCTTAAAATTAAAAAAGGTTAGCTGGAATTAAAAAAATGCAAGTAAAGTTGGGAAGATGGTTGGTTAATTAACCTTTGGTATGTTCGATTTTTCAAACCCATCATTAGATTTGACTATGAAAAAATATTTATTCAATTAACCAATTTTTTTAATTATATAATGTGCATGAAGAAAAAATGAACCCTAATATAAAAGACGAGTACACTATCTTGATCAACTTCCTTCATTCAATTTACAATTAACTGATGTTTTTATATCACCTGAAAAGATTCGGATGAGATTGTACTTTGCTTTGCCAAAAAAAAAAAAAAAGGCATATGTTGTTGACTATGCCTTACATGCTTATATTGGTATTCTCTTGAAAAAAAACCTTAAACTAATTAAGAAATATTATCCTTTTTTGGGGTCAAATACTAAGAAAATGATGATGATGATGGGTCGTGTCGTGTCCACCATTCAGATTTAAAAAAACATAACATGGCAGACAGGCTCACCAGATTTGCTGTAGATTTTTTAGGCTGATATTCAAAGATTGATGATCATGATAATACCAAAAATAGTAATAGCTTCGGTCAAAATGGACGGCCCGATGGAATTTAATTTCGTCTGCCTGACATACACGTGGCCTCAATCTGAGAACTTATCTCCAGACAGAATGATGTTGAAAAGTGGGGAAAGCCTGTTTTCCAACGCCCAGAGCTACTGTTAATCTTGTTCCTTTTTGTAGAATGGGGCTGGCCCATTAAGTCAATTTCTCCACAGATTATCCATGTTGTTCTCTACGGTGGATGGCTCGAGGAGGCTGGGTTCGAGTAGGGAGAGTCGTTCTATGTTGAGTGTCATGATTTATGGACCTTACATGTGTACTGGCAGCCCTCGTTAGGTCTGGCAATGAGTCGTGTCGTGTCGTATTGAGATTTTAAATGGATAAAAAATGATCAACCTGAACACGACCTGTTTAATAAACAGGTCAGACATTCTCAACCCGAACACGACCTGTTTATAAACGGGTTGACACGACCCAACCCATGTAACCCGTCACCTGTTCATTTTTTTTAATAACTAAATCAATAGTTTTAACAGTTTGATGAAACTTCCCCCAAATACAACCAAAGTAAATAATTAAATACAAATACATTCATCAGTTCAAGTTCAACTCCAAATTGAACAGAAAAGTTCAAATCAAGTTACAAAAGTGAATAAATTACAACACAAAATACAAATAAAAACCAACTTAATAATAATCAGTCTTTATCCTTCATTCAACCACATCAACTTTGTCCACCAACAGTGACTGTATTAGAGCCCTCCACGGAACTTGTAGCATTTCTTTCCATCTTGCTAATATCCTTAGTCAATTCTTCCAAGTTGGGTGCTAAAGTACAATTTTCTACAAATCAAATCATAAGGATTAAGCTAATGTTGAAAAGAAATAGATACAAGAAATAAGAATTAAAGTTTGAGCAAATATACCTTCGCCAAATATCCAGTCACGTGTACAAATTAGTGCCTCAACATTTTCAGGCTTAAGAGCACTACGATACTGATCAAGCACCATTTGAAACACTTGAAGTACCAGAAACAGATTCAGAAGTAGAATACATCCGAACGTATAAATCAAAGAGAGAAAACAACATATCACGAACTTTAGTCATTTCTTCGGAGTTGTAACCATACAACCTTTTATAACAAAATTCCACAAACTGAATTTTGTACCTAGAATCCAATATTACAACAATGGCAATGATCAAACTATACTCTTTCCAATACTTATCGAACTTTTCCATCATTTGAGTTGCCATAGATTTCATGAAACTATCTGAATCAACCTTTGCATTTCTCAAAGTATCCTCCACCACAAAAACTTGAGGAAAATACAGATTTGTTGTAGGGTATTTAGTTCTAGAAAACAAATAAGTCACATCATAAAACAACTTAAGAAACTTGCTAAGTTTTTCCAATTTTCCCAATTCATCTTGAGAAAGAGAACGTTTGTAATTAGAATCACTCAACTGTAAATGCAGAAATGCACGTTGATAAAAAAAAAAAGGGCACTGTCAATCATAAGAAATGTAGAGTTTCATCTAGTGGGTACATCTTGGCGCAATCCCCTCTTACATTCTAAAGAAACTTGTGCAGCACAATCTAGGAATTTCTATTTCCTCGCTTATGAACCTCTAACATACTTAATGCTTTCCCTAATTTTCCCTACAGAATCATCAATGTGTTTTAACCCATCTTGCACTATTAAGTTAAGAATGTGGGCACAACATCGCACATGAAAAAACTTTCCTTTCATTAATAGTGCATCCTTTAAATTAAGTTGCCCCTTCAACAACTCAACAAAAGTATCATTTGAAGATGCATTGTCTAAAGTCATTGAAAAAAGTTTCTTTTCCACCCCGCAATTAGTCAACAACCTATAGATTTTCTCACACAATGCAACACTAGTATGAGGAGGAGGCATAAAACTAAAATTCAATATTCTTTTTTGCAATTTCCAATTAGCATGAATAAAATGGACAGTGAAACAAAGATAACCATCGGTGGTTATAGAAGTCCACAAATCAAATGTCAAACACACTCTTTTAGGAACTGAATCCAAAATTTCTGTAAGCTTAGCTTTTTCTCTATTATAAAGACTCAACACATCAGCCTTTGCAGTATTACGAGATACCAGTTTAATATCAGCACAAACATAATTAAACAGTTCCCTAATTCCGGCATACTCAACAAACTGAAAGGGTAGGTCATGCATGATAATTGCCGTCACTAATAATTCACGAAACTTGATAGGATCGAACTTGGAAGACCTTGTTAAGATAGCACCATTAGATTTAGATAATAATAACTGGCCTAAATCACGGGTATCAGTTTTCACACAAGACTCAATATGCGCTTCAAATTTCCAGTACCATATCTACTATCACACAAATATTTTTGACCACATTTCATACACTTTGCTCTTTGCTAATTATTTTCATCTATAGGCAGAATTTCAAATTGAGTCCATACTGCTGATGTAAGTTTTCTACGCCGCTTACCAGTCTGAGTTACAATTGCATTGTTGTTGTTTGATGGATCTGAGTAGGGATGGCAACGAGGCATGAACCTGGACCAGGAACTATTCTTCACTTTTCTTGGGCTTGCATAAAATCTCCTTACATCATTTTATTCTTTATTTTTTATGTTATGTTATGTTTTGTTTTCTCAGAACATCACATATTATTCACATGATCAATTATCATAAGAGCACTTCCAGTAGTTTGCCCTTTGCCATGGCAAGGGGGGAGGGGGGGCTAGGGCAGCTGCTATTCACGTGAATAGTGGTTGCCCTTCTAAAAAGCAATGTGTGTTTCCACCGGTTGACATGGCAAAGGGCAAACACTATTCATTTTTTTTGTTTTTTTTTACAAATTTGTTTACCTAAACAATTAATTTGGATAATAATTTCGGATAAGATTTTTGGGTTTGTACTTGTCAATATTTATTATAAAATTCATATCTCATAATCGGATAAAATTTTCGGTTTCAAATTTCAGATAAATTTCAAAATTCAAATTTCAGATAAATTTCATCTGAAATTCAAATTTCAGATAAGATTTTCACCCTCTAAAATTGCGCCACGTGTTATCTCTATCGGCCTAAATTTTTCTATAAAACCATAGGCTCAGCTCATACCTCTCACACCAGATCTTCTCTATATTTTCATTTCTCAAATTTTAGAATTCATACTCCATTCTCAATGTCAGACATGAACGAGGTCTTGGAGAGGCAAGAGCGAGAAACTAGAGAAAGAAAGCATAGACGAGCTGCAGGCAAAAGGGTGCAGAGAGAACTAGATCAACAAATTGTCATAACAGTGGCTTTGCTTGATGAAGAAAACCAGAGCTGTCGTGGTTCACAAGTCGGCCGTGGCTCGAATGTGGATAGACATATGCACGATATAGAATGCAACTATGATGAATACTTTGTTCAAAAGAAAAATGCTGCTGGAAATTTGGGACTTCTTCCAGAACAAAAGTTTACTGTTGTTATACGAATGTTGGCGTATGGTTCATTTGCTGATCAGGTGGATGAGATTGTCCGGATGGGAAAGTCCACTACGTTGGAGAGCTTGGTAAGATTTTGTGATGCAGTTGAAATTCTGTACACCAGGGACTACCTACGTAGACCTACGCCCAGAGACCTGCAACAACTTCTACAAAAAGGCGAAGCTCAAGGATTTCTAGGAATGATTGGTAGCATCGACTGCATGCATTGGCAATGGAAGAATTACCCAACTACTTGGCAAGGAGATTATGGAAATAGGAAAGGGCAAAAAAGTATCATCCTTGAAGCCGTTGGATTCGATACATGGGTTTGGCAGGCCTTCTTCGGAGTTGCCAGATCTCAAAACGACTTGAACGTCCTGGATCAATTCCTGGTGTTCAACGATGTTTTGAGAGGTGAAGCCCTGAATATCACCTATAAATAAAATCAACAATACCGTCTACCAGAATGGGTATTATCTAGTTGACGTCATCTAACCAAGGTGGACCACATTTGTGAAATCAATTATGCATCCCCGATAGGCGAATCCGATGCCGGTAGGCCTCGGTTCCCTTTGGATGGGTGAGTCTTGACTCATCAGGGAATCCATAAGCGAATCTGATGCCGGTGAATCATGGAGTGGCGTCTCGTTCAACACCACAGTCGGACCCGTTGGAATAATTCGGAATCTCTTACAATTCTTCACCACCTCCCAACATTGGTCATGGTTGAAATTTTTGTTGCCTTACCCAGTAGCACCATACCACATTTGTGCTTGCATAATCTATATAAAAAATACATATATATATAGGAAATGCAAGAAACTTTAAAAAAAAATATTGGCAATGCAACAAATATAAACAAAATAATGGAAATGCAAGAAATATTAAAAAATTATTGGAAAATCAAGACATATTAACAAAATATTGAAAATGCAAGAAACATTTAAATAAATATTGGAAATGCAAGAAATATTAACAAAATATAGAAATTGCAAGAAACATTTAAGAAAATTAATAGGACATTAAAATTAATAAAACGAAAATTACAAATAATTTACCTCATTGCTAAGATTTTCCCCGCTCCTATGGTTGTCCATCGCTTTTGCCACGACATCTCTCCATTTCGCCAACTCTAATGCATGAAAGTAAATGAACTTTAAATTTAAATGAGAATGGCAGAGATGAGTTATCAAAGTGTGAAAGTACAAAGTTACAAACACTAGGGTTTTGGAATCCACCCAAAACAATTCTACCAATGTTCATGGATACTTAAGTAATGAACTCTAAACATATTGATGAAGATGTTCGCAATCAAGACCGGGATTAGTGGCTCAAGACACATTGATACATTAGTGGCTCAAGACGCTGTCTGCCGCGCAAATCTCACGGCCTAGAGTTCCGGGCCGAGGGGATGTGCGTTAATACGGGGTTTCCTGCTTTTGGGTGCGGTGCGGTTGTGCGCGGGCGTGCCAGCACGGTTTACCGTGCGTTGATATGTTGATGAGTGTTGGATGGATAAGTGGTGTGCCTGTTTGGTCTGTCTTCCTAGTCAAACGATTGTAGCCGAGAGAGGAACTGGTCTCGGCTGTTAGGTTCACGGCCTGAACTACAAGGCCGTTGAGTGATGGTGTTGGTGGTGGGTTTTGGGTGGTGCTCCGGCGCGCTGCTCAGGGAGCGACGGTCGTGTGATATATGGGGTGAGTGAACGAACAACAAGGATGGTGCTCCGGCGCCTTGAAAATCAAGGATCGTATGATATATTGATGAATGAATTTTGTTTACAATCTACCACTACTCCTAGGAAAGCAAGTAAAGATATTGAAAGTGCATTACAGAAGAAAATAAGTTGCTCCGTGGGAGGCTTGTTTTGGTGTTGAACCCTTTGAATGTAGCTCGAGTCTTGTATTTATAGGAAGAGTCCCTGGATGCCTCTGGCCGTGGAGACGCATTTATGGCCTGGATAGCTGGTGAACCAACATCTCAGGCTGTCAGAATTCTTGTGAGAATGTCCACGTCTAATCACTCTGATCCTCATCACCAAATCCTGACTTCAGTCACTTCCCACCTTCCCTCATGCATTAAATGCTTCTTTGTGGCCAATGGGTTTGCTGCATTAAACAGGCACTACTTCATTAAATGAAGCCTGGGACCCTGCTGTCACGTGATGATTTGCCTTTAATGCCTTGGTCGCAATTTTGTTCGGCCTCGGCCTCGGCCTACGCTTAAGGCCGAGATGATCATGCCTTAGCATTTTCTTCTTTTATTTTTAAAAAGGCGAAATAACCTGGCGAAACGCTGCGTTTCAGCCTCTGTGAACAAGTGCCAGGGCCGAGAGAAAGGGCTCCTTTGGCCAGCTCATGGCCGTGATTTATCAGGCACAAACAGACGCATTGATTCATTAGTGGCTCAAGACGCATTGATTCTCTCTAATATACGTAAAGTGTAGGGTTAGTGCTACAATACTTGTACCTTCCCTATAACCAAATCTAGGTGTGCTTAGTACTTCGATTCAATTACAAGAAAAACCCATTAAGTTCAAAGAGAATATGAACATCACAAGAACCCTAATAGTATGACGTTTACATTAGGCATTCAAGAAACCAATTCACATGGATGATTCTTACTTCATCCATTTGTTGCTTAGGCAAACATGAGGATACACATAATCCCAACAACCTTAAGAAGCATGCTTTCAAAGGTGATCAATCAAAGAAAAACATACTTCAAGGATAGATTATTTTAGTGAAGAGGAATTCCTCAATTGTTGTTAAGAAACCAATTCACATGATGCTCACTTAAACAAGTTCAATCATTTGTTGCTAATTAGAAATTATGTTCTTGGGTATCTTACACAATTTCTCAACTTTAGCTACATGCATACAACCTAAGGTGATCAATCAAAGGAAGCAAACACATATCATAAGATTCAATTAGTGAATGGGATCCATCAACAACATCTAAAATTTCATAAACTCAAAGCATCAAAACAAAAGTGTAATCATGTTTAGGGCTTCAACCAAAGCCCTAGAAAAATAAGAAGTTACATTGAAATAAGAAATTACAAGAAACAAATAAAACGAAAGAAACTAAGAACAAAGAGGGGAAAGAGAATTGCATCTTCAACCCCTTGGATCCTTGCCTCAAGGCTCCCCAAGGTTCTCTCCAATTGTTATGCCATTCTCCCCCCTCCTTGGTTGCTCCTTGCTCTCCTCCTTCTAGCTCTCTCTAGCTCTCTCCAAAATAGAATGAATAATCTGATCTCCAGCTCCCCAGTGGTCTGCCCAATTCAATTCCGACGTTCAAAGGTTGATGCAAGATGCCTCTCATCATTCCTCATCTCTCTCTCTCCTCCTTTCCAACTCACCCCTTTAGCATTTGTCTCCTCCTTTTCTCCTTGCCATGATGGGTTTTTGTCTTCACAAAGATGCTCTTTGTCTCAGAAAATTACATTCAATCAAAGTAATTTCTTGTTACCAAATGGTATGGTAACAAGAAGAATCAACATGACATTATGGAGGTAAAAACAGCCCCAAGACAAATTTCCAGAGTTGTTGTAACATGTAGGATCGGTTGGATGGGCTATATTTGTCCAATTGAGCTCAAATTCGGATATGTTGTAGTTAACATCCATTGGAACAAGTTTCATGAAGATATTCACCTCATCCGAGCACCGGAGCATGTCGATCTAAGGCCAAGAAGTTGACCTACGAAAATGAACAAAAACAGAATTTATAACCAATAATGCATTTTTAGCTCATTTTTATTCTAACCAAGTTAAAATCTATGAAAACATAAAAAGAAAGTAAAAAGCTATAAAATGTCAAGAACTAACTCAAAATATTTGGTGAATAACCTGATAAATCAAGTGTAAAAATGAACCCAACAGCCATAAGATGATAAATAAAAATACAATTTGAAAGTGAATAAAATGTTGAGTAAAAAGTGAATTATAGTAGAAGTAGAAGAAAATGTATGAGGATTTGGTGTTGAAAGTGAAGAGTATTGGTAGGTATTTATAGAAAAAAAAAAAACAGTATTTTTGGGTATTTTTTTTCATTATTTTATTGCACAAAAATTGGCTACCGTTGGATTGGAGGAAAAAATCCGATCGGAGAGCCCAGACGACGCCGCATGGCTACTAGCCGTTGGTTGCACTGTAGCGCGCGCGTTTGAATTTTTTTTAACGTTCACGCGCCAAAGGTAAAAAAAATTGAACTGCAAGGGCTGACGTCATCCCAAAATTCGGGCTTGTGCACTGGCTCGCCTCCCCTCAGGCCAACCCAGTCTAGTGGCCCCCACCTCCTGCTCGGGCCAGCCCTTGCTGCTGGAAACCGTTTTTTGGCCCAAACAACCCCCCCAGCCCGTGTTGCTGGAAGTGCTCTAGTAAGAAAGTTGAGGATGAGTAAACCCTAGTCTATGTCTACATGTTGCTATTTTATGACAAGGATCCTAAGGGGCTCATTAGTCTTTTGCAATTTGTCTAGCTGTCATTGTGTGCCTGGTTATGTTAAGAGATATGTACATTGGGTAAAGGGTTGAACAGGGTTTTAACACTTTTACGTAATATATGGGAAATTTCATGACGTATTATCATCGTTTACGGTAATAAACTCTGCAAACTCATGAAGCTCCCAATCTTTGAGGAATTATTTGAAACCCTAGAGTCAGATTCAAGTTTCAACAAGATAGATAAGTCTAAATATTTGTTTTTGGCTTTTCCAATTAGACAATTTTATCGCTGCATATTCAAGAATAACATCTGAACAAGATGAAGAAAACATAATCTCAGCTTTTCTTCTCTTCAAACTTGATGTGAATGCCATCCCCAAATCCTAACATAGGATTTCGAGCAATGCGTGCCCCTTTGATGGTTGTCCACCTATTAACAGAAATTCAAATGATGGTTGGTTAAGAGCTGTCAAGAACTGCAGACACAATTTTTGTAACTTGAGATTCAAATGAGATAAAACAAGAGGGCAAAGAAATGTGTTAAGTTTCTGATGTGGAACTGTGTGTATTCTTCAACACTCCACCTCATGTGGGATCACTTTTTAGTGGGCCACATGTGCAACCAATTTCACATCGGTTACCCTTTTTTAAATATATTTTTTATATTATTTTAATTTGGGGTTTTGTTTGATTTGGATTTAATCGGGTCGAGTCAACCGGCCCGCTTTGATACCATGTTAAGATTTCAAAGAGACGGACCCTTAGCCCACCACTAGCAACATCGATATTGTACCCAATTTAACCACCTGTTTAGTAGGTGTGAGGTTTTATACAAAAGACCTCGACTTTATTAGGAGTGGAGCCATTCATTATATGAGACTTTCTATTTTCAACTTTCCAATGTGAGGCTTTTTACTTTCACATTCTCACACGCTCCCGGACGTGTGATGAATTTTCAAGCCTATCATGTGGACAACACATATTGGGTAACGTGGAGCACGTGTGGGCTTTCACACGTGGACTAACCTGGCTTTGATATCATGAAGGAAGTTGAGGTTCCCCCTTTGCTAATTGGTTTTAGGGTGGAACCTCAATTTTCTTCATGGTATCGGAAAATTCACCATTCTTTTGATCTTCATCTCATCGATTGGTTTGTTGGTTGAGAGATTTTCATCATTTGTAGAACATTGGTCTGAGAGATCTTCCATCTTTGTTAAAGAAGAGAGAAATCAAAACCTAGGACCTTTGGAGTAAATACTCGTATTCCAACCAATGAATATGAACAAAATACATTGGTCCAATCCAAGGTATTTTTATTTAAAAAAATTTACAAATTTTATGAATTTTATTAATACTTTCATATTGTGGATTCCTTAATATGCATTGGCAGGTAAAAAAGGTAAACTTAAAATCTGTTATTTATTAAATCAAAAGAAACAAGGAGGCTGAGTCCCCAAACAACAAGATAGAACAAGTCATTTAAAATAACTCATGTAGTTAATATTTGATAACTGGGAGGCCTTTTTAGTGCACAACCCTCAATTATTCCAACTTAATTATATAGATTTTCCTGTTTTTGGGCTAATTCATAACTTAATTGCACGTTATTTTTAATTATAGGTACATCTAGACAAGTGCTCGATCATTTCCCGTAAACAGAATTTGAAAAGTATCTCAGTTTTTCTTCTCCGAGAGCTCAATGTGAATGCTTGACCCAAATCCTAACACATGCTTTCGAGTAATGCGTCCCGCTTTGATCGTTTTCCAGCTATGAACAAAAAAGTTAAAATCCAAAAGATGATTATGCTCTATCAAAAACCTTGTAGGCACACAGTATATTTGTAACTTGTGGTGAGAAAATGAGATAAAAAATAAGAGGGGAATGGTGAAATGTACGTACCTATATTTGGTGACCAAGACATGGAGAAAGGTGGCCAAGAACACCCTACTATACTCTGCCCCTGCGCATTGTCTCGATCCTCGACCAAACGGCATGAAGTTCTTCGATACAACAAGGGAGTCAAGGTCCTAATTTCCATAAAATATTTACACATGTGTGTATAAACAAAATTAGCTTATTTTGGGAAAATGGCAATATTACTCTCAAGTTACAACACCAAGCCCCTCTCTTCCTCCCCACGAAAACGCACCTGCCAACGCCATGGATTGAACTCGAGGGGATCCTTGAATGTGTTGAGACTTAGTTGAAGTGCAGAGGTGAGAGCCATAATCGTCCAACCTGCTGGAATTGTAAATCCTGCAAAGCATGTACTTCAACATTTTAGTGAAAAAAACATTTGGAGTTAGAAACTAAAGGCCTAAGCTATTTGTAACGAAGGACGTACCGTTTACTGGGATATCTTTCAAAGCTCTGCGGAACAATGCAGGTGCAACATTTCCCAGTCTAAGAGTTTCATTGACAACCTATGTTTTCCAAAGACCAGCAAGTTAATAAGGCATTTTCCATAGTATTGTGTGAGTAGAAACAACATGTTCAGCTTGTGTACTTTGTAGAACTATTTACCTGACGAGTGAAAGTCATCGATTTATATTCGTCCCAAGTGAGTGAGGAATTTGCATTTTCTCTGTTTTTGAGAAGTGCCTCATTCTCAGCCTAGACGATAAAAGATATTTGATTATTTGTGACTTATGTAGAAAATTAAAGAACATGTTAAATTGATGCCTAAACTTTGTGTACTTACAGTCAACTCTTTTAAAGCTGCAGGATGCTCTGCAAGTAAACTGAAAGCTAATGCCATTATTGATGAAATAGGATGAAAGCCAGCAAACAAGGCCCCAAATAAGGTATAAACAACAAAATCCTCGGATAAGAACTTCTCTTTGTCCATGTCGCTGCTGATTTGGCCAAGGAAATCTCCTCGATGTGTGTCCGGTGACATGCGTCTCTTCTTTAGCATATCCCTCAGCATATCTTCTCGCGGTCCTGAATAGGTACCAAAGCTTTAAATATCTTTATGGTATCTGATTGAATAATTGAAACAAATTTTGCATGTTTTGATAAACAAACCATTTTGAATACTACCTTTAAACAATTATGGTATGCTGTACCAGGAACATTCAAGGGAATTGACAAAAAAGTGTTCAAGATTTTAGAAAATTTATCACTGAGGTTATCAGATGATGTTTCAGCATCATAACCAATCAAATGCTTGGCACCAAAATTGAAGAGCATCTGCGACGGCGAGAAAAGATAATTTTAGTATAAACAATAAGCGCAGTGGATCATAATAACTAATGGATAAGTGATTAAGTAGTTGGGTTGAAATTTTTACAACTGAGCTAGCATCTTTAACTTCAACCGATGGCTGACTTGACCAGGAGGCTAGAGTTTTGACGACCGTTTTTTCTATTAGAGGGAGCAACTTTTCCTTAAGCGTCTCAGCGCCCAAGTGATTCAATGAAATGCTCCTTATGTACTTGTGAACAGTATCAGCTGCATTCGTGTCGTCAGCCATATTGAAGATCTTGGTAAATGAGTCCAAGTACCATAGTTCAACTAGCTTGCCTTCTTATTGAAATAGGTAACTATTGAATTTGGGATCGGCTGAGACTACAATTGGTTTACCAGCCAAACTAGTCCGAAATATCAGGCCATATCTGCAAGGAAGAGAAGAATTTAAGCGAGAAATGAAACTAGAATTTGTTATGGTAAATTGAGTAGGCATAGTTTATTTACTTTTCAAGTCTCTTCTTAAAGAAAGGATGAAGATCAATGGAATAGCTCGGAGTCATCGCATTGAGAGTCTCTCCAACGAGAGGCCAGCCCATAGAACCCGGAGGGAGAACCCCATTGCATTTTGGATTTCTCCATTGTGTAATCCAGTGAGTAATGTATGTCACTAGCAAAACTACTAAACTCAATCCAACAACAGCCCATATTTTCAGATCAGAGAAAGAATTGTAGTCTTGTCGGTTCACCTCCCTTCTCTTTATAGATATATCATATATCTCACTGCCATCTTTGGAGATGGTGCTGTTGGTCTCAAATGTATTAAAGTCTCTGTACGTGCCAAATCTACTTACCTAACCCTAAAAAGCTTGTATCTTAACGTTAAAATCTATCCAGTTGCAGTAAGTTTCTACTCGTTTTTTTGGTCAAGTTTCTGCATTGGTAGCAGCATTAATACTTAGTTAGTTTAGGTATTTTAAGTTAGGTTTCTAGAATTCCATCTAGATAAGTTTTCTAAACGTGCATCAAAAATTTTAATCTTGCTCATCAATCCACGGGACCACGGCGTATAAACGTAAATCACTCCACAGAGTCAAATCATCAACACTGATTTATTTTGGAAGTCTATTATAAGTTTGGTCGAACCTCATGTTTAGTTAGGTTATGGGAGGTGTAGCCTTCTTGCATTCTAGCTCAATATGAAATACGTTTTTTTTATTTTTTTTATTGAAAAGAAAATTCGGACAATTTTATTGCTCAGGAAATACCATTATCATAGTTAATTAGGAGTTTCTAGTCACTAAATCGATGCTCAAAATTTGTCCACGTACAGTCAACTCCTGCAAAACTGAAGAATGCTTTGCTAGTAAACTGAAAGCTAAAGCCAGTACTGGTGAAATAGACTCAAACGTAGCAAATAAGCCCCCAAATATCAGCGGCAGTGCTAAATCCTCTGTTATTGAAGTATTAGGAGGGCGCCGCCATTCGTTGGTGGTTGATTTTAGGTCAAAATGTATTAAAATTTCAGTGCATTCAAAATTCTATTTAAGTAGGCACGCTAAATTTTTATTTTATTTTATGGTCAAAATTAGGAAGGGGAATGGAGGGAGGAAACTCATACACATGGGTATTTCGGACTTGAATCCGGGATCACTTGGGAGCACACTAAATGTTTGGGCCAATCCAACTAAGGCTCAGTTTGGGATTGCTGTCACTTTTTTTAAAAGTTGATTATGATGTGCTTTGAAAATAATTAGCTGTAAAGTAAAGCAGCTCCATGTTTGATAAACAATATTTTTAAAGTGCTGTTAATACAAAAAGCAGTGTCAAAACTATTTGGTGAATTTTAATATAAAATTGTTGTAACTGTGAATAATGACTAAAATAGACATGATGTTGAAAGTGTTATGTACTAATCATGTGGTGGTAGTGGTGGTGATGGAGTAAAAGTGGTGGTAGTGATGAAGGTGGAGTTGGTGGTTGTGGTAGTGGTGGTGGTGGTGACAGTTGCAGCATGGTGGTGGTGGTGGTGGTGGTCGTGGAGGTGGAGGTGGAGGAGGTGGTGGTGGAGATTGTGGAGGAGGTGGTGGTTGTAGTGGTGGCAGTGAAGGATGAAGAAGAGGAGGATGTGGTGGTGGTGGTTGTAAAGGTAGTGAATGTGGTGGTTCAAGTGGTGGAGTTGGATGTGAAAGTGGAGGTGGTGTCATTTTTTTAAAATGAATGATGGTATTTTGGGAATTAAAAAAATTCATTAAAGGATCTCTGCTTCTTTTGAAAGCAACTTTAAAAGCAACCCAAAGCCTGCTTTTAAAAGCTGCTGTCAAAATGTCACTGCTTTTAAAATAATCGGGATATTTTATTTTTACCAAACACCTTAAACTGTTTAACTTTAAAGTGAAGCTAATTTTTGGCCCAAAAAAAAAAAGCAATCCCAAATGCGCCGCCCCCCCCCCCACCCCAAAA